GTTCCAGCTTCTGTTGCCGCAGGTCGAGCGATGTCATTTTGCACGAGATCAACTGTCAAACGACGAAGAACGTCCCAAGATGCGCAGTCCCAGCCACTGCAAACCAGCTTTGTTTACGCCAAACACATTCGTTCGTTTTGCGGTACCTAGGCAACCGTTCGCCCATAGACATTTATACTATACACTAGACCGCTAACTCCTCTATTTACTGAGCCTGAAAGTTGACTCCAAAACTTATATATTATATAATGTGACGTAGGACAAATAATGTCACGTGATCAAAACGTAGTCATGTGGTCACGCGAATGTAATATGGTTGATGCACTACAAGACATAGATATTTTTATTAAAGATCTTAAATATTTCCATTCTTCAAATTCTGCTTTAGAAATTTTTTCATTTTGTATTAAATAAATTTCTTTACCTAAATCTGAATATATGTATATACCTATTTCACATGACCAAATACTTTGTAATATATACATATATATTTCTAAAAGACGTAACAACTTTTTGTTAAAGAAATTTTTTTCTTCAAGAAATAAATAAAAGTTATAACAATTATCAAAAAGAATAAAAAAACATTACATATTTGTTATTCAAATATATATAAAATTCGTGTGCGATATATATAACATATATAGGATTTTCATGCGCATGCGTGCCCCCTTATTTCATACGCATGCGCATGTGTTTTTGTACATGCTTTTCAGGGCCATGTATTTGAGGCAAGTTAGCAATCTAGTAAATATAAATGTCTATGGAAAAACCCGAGAAGAAATGTGACAGAAAATTAGTTACGTGATTGGTTACCTACTTAGCTCGTGCATGTGCAGTTTAATTTTATACACGTTAAAATCGGGAGAGTTGTACTATTGTATACTGTGGAATAATAACGGAAAGGAAACATGGTGAAGGCTAACCAATCAGAATGATTCCGTCCGTTTTTTCATGGCCGGGTTCTCCATGACAAACATTTAACAAAACGAATTTAGTGACACCCATTTCATCACGTCCCGATTGACCACTAACCGCTCATAGCGCTTGAACAGTGGAAACATTTGTAGCGGATCTAGTGCTTTGCCCGGAAGGGGCTGCGCAGGCAATGCCTTGCCAAGGAAGGCCGGTTCGAGTTCGTCACAGATCTGAAAGGCAGATGCGGGCAGTGAAACTAAAACGCGCTACGATTTGAATTTCGACCGTCGCCAGCAACGTCTCGCGAAGTTCTGGTTTGGGTCACTTTTATTACTGTACACTCAATCAACAGGACTAGAACGTGACAAAGTCATAACGTCGAACGAACAAAGGCGCGATATTTACAACGATCATGAAAAACCAATAACACAGGACGACGAAATCGCACGTACAATGCCAACAGGGGCACCGCGAACACGGGAACAACGCGTGACAATGTTTTCTCACGTAGCGTACAATGCCGGCAAGGGCACCGCGG